TCAGTTGCCATGGTGTGGTCCTTAACCCCACCTCATCTCCACCCAGACGGTCATCCTTTTGATCTTGTCATCATCCCACCCTAAATGCTGTTGCCTCCAGGGTCATGACCTTTATGTGATCAGAATCTTTCCCTCTACCTAGTAACCCTCAATCCTGTTCTTTGTCTTCATTGTGACCTTCAGTCCTTCCACTCCTCAGCTCTTTCCCAGGGAAGAGAAGAGAAAATAAGCATTTCTATAGTACCTACTATGTGCCAAGCACTTTATAAAAATGATCTCATTTCATCCTTATAACAACCCCTCAAGGTAAGTGCTATTATTATTCCCATTTTATAGTTGAGGAAACCGAGGCAGATAGAAGTCAAGTGACTTGCTCAGGGTCACACAGCTAGTAAGTATCTGAGGTCAGATTTGAACTCAGATCTTCCTGACTCTAGGCCCAGCTCTCTGTGCCACCAACTCATTTTTTCTATCTTGATGAGTCAGCCCAACTCTACATTGTCCTCTTCTCAAATCCCATCCTCCCTTGCCCTGCTAAAGCTCAGTTTTGGATCATTCTCACTCTGTCCTCCTTTACTTCTTCCTATCTCACATGAAGAAATGACCCTCCTCCTTAGTAAGGCTAACCTCTCTTCACGCACAAGTGGTCCTATTCTAGTCCATCTTCTCCAGCAAGCTGCCCTCTCTATCATCCCCACTCTCTCACTCACTCTATTCAATCTCTCTACTGGCTATTTCTGTACTGCCAAAAACCATGCTCATGTGTCCCCCCCATCCTCAAAAGGTCCTCACCAGATCCACCCGTCCATGCTAACTTGCATCTCATACCTCTCCTCCCTTTTGTGAATAAACACCTTTAGGGTTTAGAAGGTTGCCTACAACAGGTACCTCCATTTGCCCTCCTCTTATTCTCTTCTTTACTCTTTACAGTTTGTCTTCTGACCTCATTAATCAACTGAAGCTGCTCTCTCCAAAGTTACTCAGGATCTCTTAGTTGCCAAATCCAGTAGCCTTTTCTCAGTCTTCATCCTTCTTGACCTCTCTGCAGCCTTCAACATTGGCAACCAGCCTCTTGTCTTGAGGTTCTCATGACACTGCTCTATCCTGGTTCTCATTCTCCTTATCTGACCCCTCCTTCACGGTACTCTTTGCTAGATCTTCATCCGGGGCTCTGTCCTGGGCCCTCTTCTCCCTCTAGACTATCTCACTTGGTGACCTCAGCAGCTCCTGTGGACTCAATTCTCATCTCTATGCAGATGAGCCTCAGATATGTTTGTCCAGCCTCTCTGATTTGTCAGTGCTCTCTGCTGACTTCTAGTCTCACATCTCCAATTACCTAGTGGAAATCTCAAAACTGGATGTCATGTAAACATCTTCAACTCAACATATTCAAAATGGAATTCATTATCTCTTCCCCAAAACCCTCCCCCGACAGCTTCCCTATTACTTTCCATGGTACCCCTATCCTTGCAGTCACCCAGACGGGCAGTCTATGTGTCATCCTTGACTTCTCTCTTTCTCTCACCTCCCATATCCAATCTGTTGCCTACTTCTGTTGTTTCTATCTTTGTAACATCTCACAAATACACTCCCATCTCTCCTCTGACACTAGCACCCCCTGGTGCAGGTTCTCATCACTTCATACCTTGATTACTGCAGTAGCTGCTGGGGGGGGGGACGGGGCTCTGCCTGCCTCAGGTCTCTCTCCCTGCTTCAATCCGTCCTCTACTCAGCTGCCAAAGTCATTTTCCAACTATAGCACTCACTCAAGAAAGTGCAGAGGCTCCCTATCATCTTCAGGATCAAATCGAAAATCCTCTGTTGGACATCAAAGCCCTTCATAACCTGGTCCCTCCTACTTTTCCAGTCTTCTCGCATGTTACTCACCTCCATGTACTCTGGGATCCAGTGACACTGGCCTCCTGGCTTTTCCTCAAACAGAACACTCCATCTCCCTGGCCATTCTCACTGGCTGCCACTAGACATGTTACTAGACATGAAATCCTCTCCCTTCTCATCACCACCTCTTGGCTTCCTTCAGGTCCTGGCTAAAATCTTACCTTCTAAAAGAAGCCTTTCCGGAAGTGCCTTCTCTCTGTTTTATCCAGGTTATAGCTTGTTTGTACGTGGCTATTTGTATTTTGTCTCCCGCATTAGATCGTTAGCTCCTTGAGGGCAGAGACTGGCATTTGCCTCTTTTTGTATCCCCAGAACTTGGCACAGTGCTTGGTGTGTAGGAGGTGTTTAAGTAAATATTTATTGACTTTAATTAGTGATTGATTGATTGGGGTTTTGCCTTGGCCTGAGAAAGAGAGGAAGGGCAGCTTGGTGGTGCTGCAGTGGATGGAGCTCTGGGCCTGGAGTCAGGAAAACATCTTCCTGAGTTCAAATCCAACCTCAGACTCTTGCTAACTGTGTGACCCTGGGGAAGTCACTTCACCCTATTTGCCTCAATTTTCTCATCTGTAAAATGAGCTGGAGAAAGAAATGGCAAATCACTCTAGTAACTTTGTAGAGAAAACCCCAAATGGGGTCATGAGACTGAACAACAAATGTGACTATAAGAGAAAGAGAGGAGACATAAAGGAGAGACTAAAATATAGGAGATTTTGATGTATCAAGATAGACAATAGAGACACAGATATGGGAGACCCAGAATAAATGAAAGGCTGAAATAGGAGTGTGTGTATGTATGTGTGTGTGTGTGTGTGTGTGTGTATGTGTGAGAGAGAGAGAGAGACAGAGACAGAGACAGAGAGAGACAGAGAGATAGAAAGAGAGACAGAAACTGAAACATTGCAGATTTCTGTAACTTTCTCTAGCCATAAGAACCAGAGTCCAATCTGGGGGATGTGTGAAGAGTTGAGGTAACTGGGTAACTAGAAGGGTCTCAGAACCCTCTACAGTAAAAGGTGATTATTTCTCCTTTAACACTGTGGTTTGGTCACCATCGGAGAGCTGAGTGGTTAGAATCTCTCACTATTTTTATTTTGTTTCTAATTCTGTTTGAAACTTAGTAAACTCTTTGATAAAATTTCTTCCTATGGCATAGGTGCATAAGTGCTTAATAACTACAATTTTGGAAGTAACTACATTGCAGAATTGTTACAGTGGAAGAAGAAATATTTGGGACACCGACCCCAAGAAAGGAGGCCGCTGAAAATCCTCAGCCTCACGGTTATCTATAGACAAAGGCCAAGGAAATCAACAGTTTCAAGTGAAGGTAGCAAACTTGGTCTCCTAGAGGCAGCCAGGTGGTGCTGCAGTGGATAGAGCACTGGCCCTGGAGTCAGGAGGACCTGAGTTCAAATGCCGCCTCAGACACATAACACTCACTAGCTGTGTGACCATGGGCAAGTCACTTAACCCCATTGCCTAGCAGAAAAAACAAACAAAAAAAAAACAAAAAAGAAAAGAAAACAACTTGGTCTCCTAAGCATTGGTTCAGCCTGAACTCTACTCTGAAAGAATGGATTCAAATGGGCCATTCTTGGGCAAGCTGGGAGCTCGTTGGTCCCCAAACCGTCCAGCCCTGCCTACCCATCCAGGCTTCTCTGAGCTGCCAGGGAAGGGCCAACCTTCCAGGATGAAGGACATGACAGCCCCATCATCCTCGGCTCATTTCTGAGACCTGTGATCAAAGGATGTTAATAAGCTGGAGAGTCTGGAGGAAGGCTACCAGGCTGTCCAAAGGCCTGGAGACTATGTCCTATGTAGAAGGTTTGGAGGAACTGGGATATTTGACCTGAAGAAGACTTGGGGGTACATGAGAATTTCTCCAATTACTGGAAGGGCTGACAAATGGAGTTGACAAGGATAAGACATCCTATCTGGCTCCAGAGTACAGAAACGGATTCAATTACAACAGTTGCAAAGCTCTTCTGGGCCAGGCCAAAGTGTCCACTAATGGGAGATTCAGGTTTGAGATCCTTCTTCCAAGGGAGGATCAAGACTAAGGATGGGGAGGAGGGGGTCATTGGTGGCTAGGTTCAAAAAGAAGCCCGACAAAATTTGTTTCTAATGAAAAGTGTCAAACCTGGAAAAACTCAGACCAACGAGGTAGTTACTAATAGTGAGGCATTTATTCAGGGTGTGGGAATTGTATTTTGGGCCAATGGGCTGTCTTATTCAGACAGGGATACCTGGAGAAGGGGAGAAAGGAGATTCTTAGTATAGGGTGTAAGGATACATAGAACAGCCAGACAGCAGGAAAGGAGTGTTGAGGAAGTGGAGAAAAAAGAAAACAAAAGAAGACCATGTTTGTAGAAGTGTCCTTGCTATTATCTCTGTCTGGGAACAGGAGTGGTTAGAAACTGCTGGGGAAATGGGGGGGGGGGTCCTCCTGGGAGCAGTTAGAAACTGCTCATCAGCACAGGGTAGGGGCCCAGAGATTCCCAAGGGTTGACAAGAGCATTCTGTGCTGCATGGGGGTGCTCCTCCCTGGAGGCCTTCAAGTCAAGGCTGGTTGCTGAGTACTTGGAGGGGGTTGGGGAATTCAGATTCACGTTTAGAATGGACTATATGACCATTGGGCCCATTTTCATCCTTGAGTCTGGGAGGTGAGGTGGTGAAAGTCTCGGTTAGCTCCAGTCTTCAAGGATGACCCCCAAGGGAAGGGTTGAGAGGAGATTCCGGTTAAAGTCGGAGTTGGGCTAGATGGCCACTGTGAGACCCCTTCCAGAGCTGGGAAAGAAATCTCGGTGGGCTTCCAGGAGGAAGAGACCTGGGGGAAGGGTTTGGAAGCCTTCGAAGTCACTCTCCCAGGGACCCCTGGGACGTCCCTTCCGAAACTTGCCCTGTCTACATTCCAGAAAAGGCCGATGACCACCGTAGGGCCACCTGCCCCTACCTCCCTCGCGCCCTTCCTTTGGCGCGCCTGCGCGCAGGGAGTAGGGGTGGGGGTAGGGAGAAGAGCGGCGGAAGGGGGAGGCGCTCCGACGAGAGCAGCTGAGGCTGTTCAGTGATTGCAGCGCTCCGCCCCCCGCCCTGCCGCTGCCACTGCTACTGCTCCTCCCCCCGCTGCGGCTGCGGCTGCGGCGGCTGCTGGACATCCAAAAGGCCGCCATGGACGTGCTCAACCAGGTGGGGAGATGCGGAGGCGACTGAGGGCGCTTCAGCACCACGGACAGCCGCCCCGAGCTAGCTCCTAGGCCCCAGGGGTCGCTCCTCCCCTTCCCGGAGGGCTCAGGGCTGGTAGCCAAGAAATGAACAAAAGGGCGGGGCGGGGGGGTGGAGGGTGCAAGAGGTAAAGGAGGCAAAGGGGAAGGGGGATGGGGGGGAGCAGAAGGTGAAGGAACCAGAGGAGAGGCGGAAGCCTGGGGAGGAGCAGGAGATGAAGGAGCCAGTCAGGAGGAACCGGGTCGGGGTGGAGGGGGCAGGAGGTGAAGGAACCAGAGGGGAGAAGGGGCCTGGAGGGGGGGGGGGGCTGAGGGGGGGCAGAAGATAAAGGAGCCAGAGAAGGGAAGTTGGCAGGAGGTGAGGGAGCCAGAGGGGAGGAGGTGGCGGGCAAGACGAGCCAGAAGGGAAGGGGTCCTGGGGTGGGCAGGAGATGAAGAAACCAGGGAAGGAGGGGGGCTGTCTGAAGGAGAGAAGAAGTAGGGGAGGAGGGCATCCAGGGGACAGATGAAGGAATCAGGCTGTGAGGGGCAGTGCCCAGGGGGCAAGAGATAAAGGAGACCCAGGAAGGGAGGAGAGCATTCAGGGGGTACAAGATGAAGGTGGGAGGGAGTGAGGCTTGTCAAGGGGCCAGGAGCTGAAGAGGGCTGCAAGGCGAGAAGAGGCCTGGAATTGAGAAAGGTGGGGAAGGAGGACAAATCTCAGAGGATGAAGGGGAAGGCCTGATTGACTAGTAGTAATGAACAGTCGGGGAGGGAGAAACCCCAGAGGACAGCCAGGAGGAGAAAACCCAGAGGACAGCCAGGAGGAGAAACCCCAGAGGACAGCCAGGAGAAAAGGAAGGTCAAGAAGGGAGAGGCAATGTGAAGATGCGGAGGAAAATGGGAGAAAACCAATTACTGAGGGCATCCATTAAGGAGTGAAACAGAGATTTTGGACACATGGGGAGGAGGCAAGAAGAGCTGCCATCCTGAAGAAGCCCCAGACCCAGTGAGAGGGGAAAAAGCCTAGGGGCCCCCCAGGAGGAGGCAGAAAGCTGAGGCAGGCCTGGAAGATAGAGCTAAAAACCAATTAGCTAAGGGGAGGAGGGAGCATCGTAGGAAGAAAGGCAAAGGGGATTTGCTGTTGAGGGACACAGATGGAACAGATAGAGAAATCCCAAAAGGCATCCAGAAAAAAGAGGAAACAGCCCTGGAAGTGACAGAGGAGAAGAGGTGGAAAAATTCAGGGGGGTCACCAGAGAGAAGAGAAGGTTTGCCCAGGAAGTAGAGGAATTAAGGACTAGAAGATAATAGATGGATGTAGAAGAGGTTTGTGGGTGGGAAGAGAAGAGGGGAGGAGGGGGGGAGGGAGAGAGAGGGGGGGGGGGCGAGAGGGGGGGAGGGAGAGGGAGGGAGAGGGAAGAGGGGGGGGGGGGGGGGGGGGGAGGAGGGGAGGGGGGGGGGGGGGGGGAGAGAAAGAGAGAGAGAGAGAGAAAGAGAGGGAGAAAGAGAGAGAGAGATCTTGGAGATCATCCAGAAGATAGGAGGTCTGAATTTTGGGGAGTAGGAGGGAAAGAGAAGGGAGGCAGATCTAGCAGGAGCGGGGAGGGAGAGAGACAGGGAAGATAATGGTCCTGGGGAGGAGATGGACATGGAGATTCTAAAGGACATTCCAGAGAAGGAAGGATTTGATGTATCAACACAGATACTGATAGCAATGGAGGCAGGGCACAGTGGCAGAGGAGGGAAGGCTGGAAGTGAGGAAGGTGGGGGGTGGGGATGGGATAGGATAATGAGGATGGAGATATGAAAGCAGGAATCCCAGAGAAGGAGGAAGCTACCTGAAGATAGGGTGAGAGGAAGGTGAAGGTGGAAATCCTGGAATGAATCCAGGAGGATGAGGGATGAATTTTGTGAGGGAAATGGACAATTCCTGGCTGGCTAGATCATACATGAGCAGATGGCCTAGAAAGAAGACTAGGTGGGAGAAAAAGGGAGATAGATGGAGAAATTCTAGCGTTGGAAGAGTCGGAGTGAGAAGAGATTTGGAAGGTAGAGAGGATGTGTGTGTGTGTGTGTGTGTGTGTGTGTGTGTGTGTGTGTGTGT